TGAAAAAAGAACAAATTTGAATGGCACTAACCTGTATTAAATGAGGAGGAGGGGGGGGGGGTAGTATTTAACGTCAAAATACGGACCATATTACGAAATACAAGATATCGGGATGCATAATATTAAAAAGGTCCAAATACATTTTCAAAATTGTAAAATATATTCTGACATATGCATATTTACGTACCTTGTTAAAGCAGATTTAAAAGTATTTAGATATTTGACAATGAACCCCTCCCACGTGTATTGCGCTATTGCGTGTCGCATGTGCAGCTCAGTGGTTCTGTTGGGGCGATAAGTTTTTCATCTGTGAACATACTCTCAAAGCATGTCAAGTGTCCATGACTATTTATCATATCACAACCTGCATAGGTATTTGCATTTCAATATCCCTTACTTTTTTTGAAGAGTATATTAAAATAACATTCAACAAAAGTACATTTTACAAATCTGATATGACAAATGTCTGATTTGTAAAACAAATATTGATTTTAAGATACAAATGTTAATTTTAGTATACAAATGTCGAAATACATCAACAAAAAAAGAAATAAGTATTGAGGACTGTGACTTAAGAATTAAGAACACTGAATAAAAAGCTGTTTGGTCTTCCATAGAAACTTGGCTAAATACCCCAACCATGTTGACTAGTCCAAATCAATGTTCATTTAAGCATATTGTTTTCCAATTTCCGGTAGAACTGTTAATTTATTTCAAGCTCAAATAAATTAGATACTACCATCCACACTAAACCTGGGAAGAATGTTTATAAAACAAAGACCTCAGTTTTTGTCGCTTCCTTGTTATAATCTCTGATTCGTAATCAGCAAAATATGAGGAGATCTTCCCTTTTTTCATTGGCTCGAGATATTATATATAGACAGTGAAGACCTAAAAAAAAAGACATCTATAAAATTGTATACTATAGTTCGAATTTGTTATGTAATTTACTTGTCAATATTTGTGGACACTTCCAGGAATATGAAATATTATAACTCGTTTTTTACATAGCGAAAACTGCACAATCTTCGTTTTCAGCCACCATTCCTGTCTCTGTGGGGAATATGGCGGATGGAAAAGAAATCTTATATTCTAATCGATTTCATAACGGGTATAAAACTCCATTTGTATCCCATGCAAATGTAGAAACGGAGGACCTTCTTATACTTGGGCTAATGATATGTTAATGATGATGGGTTAGTTGTATTTTACGTCCGCTTCCACCGAGGTGATATCGCAGACAAAATGTTAATGTTGGGTTGTTTTCTTTTATAGTTTAAGCGACCACATTGAAATGCAGTGATAGCATTAATAAGTATAATAAAACCGAGTCTTCGTTTTACATGACGTCAGACTAATGACACTTTTATGACACTTTTATGTAGTTTTACACTACAGGAAATGTCGAATACTCTTATTCTATGACTTGCCGAAAGAGTGTATGATCATAGAGACCCGTGAGTAGAGAATTTTATCTGCAACAGACATACCTATATTACCTACATAAAAATTCTAAATTTAGTCAATAAGCTACTTGGTTATTACGAACAAGATTTTATTTTGTCGTTTGTTGTTTTATTTGGATTCCTGTCCAGCAGTTTGCTTGCAATTTTGTCATGGCCACGCCAAGTTTATAGTATGCATAAACGGTTAGAATGCATAATTATTTTCTTTCTGTGCCGTAACTTTAAATCTTTAAGAAATTATATAGTTTTACCGAAGATTATGTCCAAATTTTTACGTAGACAACCAGATGTATTGCAGCATTACATAATTATAACAACCCGTTCTTCCTGAAGTCCATAGATAAAAAGTGTTTCCCTCTCTATTGTACAATTAAGTACCTTCTATGTGAACTAAAATAAGAAGCAGTATTCGATGTTCTAGCAATAGTAAGCATATTCAAACCAGTGTAGATTACTCGCCAGTACTTGAATACCAGTGGTGTAATAGCTTAGGTCTGGATTTCAAAAGTCGGAGTCATTGGGTATGAGTCCAATGGCTTATTACACATGATGGTGTAACTCTGCCTTGTTCAGAATACTTCCAACCATTCTAGTTCAAAACAGACGTCTCCTCATTTCCTAAATGAGAAATGAGCTCCGAGCAATGTACCCAAATCTTCTTAAATCTTGTTCGATTGCATTGTAGTGAAAATGGGGCTAATTTGAATTAAATCTGAATTAAATTTATACAGGAAGGAACAACGCACAATTACAACTTAGATGCAGTAGCCCCATAGTATCTCTAAATATGACATAGCCCTCTCCACACTACTGGCCCAAAAAATTTTTTTTTGATTTGTGCATGTATATTATTAAGGTTAATATCATAAGATCAAGAAAGAAAAACGTAGATAATTTATGAGCATGCGCTTTATTTATTTATTTGTTTGGGGTTTTTTTCTTCTTTTTTTTTCTTTTAAAGAGTCAGTGGATGAGATTTTGGACGCAGGTACATGAACACCATAGTACACATATAATGCAGTTTGGTCGTTTGTCTCTTATTTTAACAATCAATTGTCCAAATACAGAGACAACATGCTAGCTTTGACGATCGATAACTACCCCTGAATTATCTCGAATTTATATCTTAGTCAACACCAAGGATTATTTACCATTACGTTAAACACCAATTCTATAACTAGACATTTGACAGATGTCGTCATTTTTTGTTAAGTTTAAAAAGTCAATCATAATCTGAATGAACACATAATTAAACATCGCAAAAAATGCTTCACAGGGTCGATAGCGAGACGAGCGAAAATCGGAGTGAACACTTTAAACAATCCTTGTTGTGCGCAGGCCTTAAAGGAGCTAAACATCAATAGTATCCAGAATATTCTAAATTGAAAACACGAATCAAATATTGGTCCATTTTAATCAGTATTGATGTTGTTAACTTAGCGTGAACATATGGGATCCAAATATCCCGAATTTAAGACATTAATAATATTTCAAAACCAGTACTCTAAAAACATAATGGTTTCAAGTGGCATTTGTAAAAAACAAAGAAAACATATCCCGGAAGACAATACTGAAGTAATTAGAAATGGCTGACTCACAAACAAACAAAAAATTTTTTTAAAAAAAGAACGTATAGAATTGACTAAGCGAGCGTAAAGGAAAAAATGGTAAAAAAATCCAAATTTAATGAAAATCACTTTATATACACTCATATTAATGTTTATTTTAAGTTCCAAAAATAGAGCCATGCGATACAAAACACGAAAATAACACCTCAAAAATCCACCCAGTCTGTTTTGAGAGTTGACACAATCCGAGTCCCCGAGTCCCAAATTAGATCACTCACAGGTCATTCGGGAAATGGTCGAGGAGACCTTTCGGGTTATTTCATCGAAGTGGCTGACAATGAATGGTATCTACTTGGTAAATTGAGACTGTATGTAGACAACCATTTGTTTTGGATGGTTGGGCTGAAGTTCGATATTTCCCTGAAGTTTTATAGTAAACGGAATTTATGAGGCGGATTTCACAACACATAATTATATTCAGTTTTATGTAGAATACTTATTCTATGATCTTGGAAATTCACTGTCCCTTTGCAGTATACGTAAAACATTTTGTCGATAGGGTCAAGGATGAAAATACAATGGAAATAAATACAAGGTGATATTAACGTCTCGTCAACATAATGTTGAAGTCATTTTGACATACGGTTATATGTATTTACTACGGAATTTTCCCCATCATTCAGGTCGATGGTCTTTTTTAAGTTCGTGTTTAATGTGTACACGGAAGCGGGAATATTCAAATCGTAAAAACGACCCTGTGTTCATTCTTGCAAGCGTTGGTAGGTCAGCAGGAATCAAATTTCGATTGTGTAGTATTTGACATCTGCTACTTGTAATAAGTTTCCCGGGTAGTGCAGGACATCGATATAACTAATATTCAAAAGAAGCCAGTTTAACAAATTTGACCCAATGACCGATTCCCAAAGCTTTAGAGACTTAACTACTATTCGTGTAACACATTTACGGAATGGAAAGAGGTTTGAAGTAGAAGTCATTTTAAGATTAACATTTGACAATTTCTATTTCAACAGCTAAAGCTATAAGTTCCCTTTTTTCTCAACTAAAGCAAATTTATGTATGGAGTCAAAATGGATACTGGGTCAAATCGCAACAGTTAGCGTGCTTCTTGTCGGTGTGTAACGGAATGCACAACGACGACTAAGTGTGAAACGTTTATTAAACATATCCTGAAACAATTGAATGACCCCTTCGTAACTACACGGGGGTCTATGTAAGAACCAATAAGAGCGATGGTTCAAATAAACCAAATCATATAGACTTAGGGGTTATCGTATATGGATATCGATCACATATGGCCGCGGTATTGATGGAATGTTTCATGTCCTGTGGATTTTAGCCATCTTACATCTTAACCCCAAATTGTTATAGCAGCTTTGGTGAATTTACTATATAGAAATAAACTGTAAATGAGAAAGATAACAATATGTCTTTATTATGTTAAATGTTTAATTAAACACAGTCGGGTTTCATTACATCCAGTATAAACGGTAGGTAGGTAGCATCTGTTGGTTAAGAAACCCCATTTATGTACACAGTAGCTTTTTAATAACCAAAATGTTTGACATTATTTTAACAACAGTTACTTATAATGTATATCAAAATTTAAATTTCTATTTATACAATAATTTGAATATATTTTCTAATTTATGATATAGTGCCTTATTACACTAATAACTTGTCTTCCGGTATTTATGGACTATTATAAATAATCATCATTGCCTACTGAACATAATCGTTGCTCAGTTATCTGGTCTGAAAACGTCCAACTTAATGTTAAAACATCAGTCGCATCATACTATCTAATTACTGACCTTAAATACATCTAAAATTCTCTATGTTTCAAAACATTTAACCACTAACACCACGACATATTTAGGAGCGAGCATTTTAAAAAATTGCCTGTATCAGTATACTGATTAATAAATTATTTATAATTAAAACATACCTGCATTGGCTTTAATTATAGTAAGTAAGTAAGTAAATACTGTTATGTAAGGATATATCCACATGGCCAACACTACCACTTCTAAATAACACTCATCCAATCTTACACCAAAATCCGCCAACTTGAAAACCTTGTGTGTGTTGTATTGAGACGAAAATATCAAACTTCTCCCTATATACACAAAACACCTGTATATTTACACTCAAGCTAAGGTTACTGTCAATCAATCTTTGACAGACAGATGATTAAGTTAAGTGATCGAAATGAACAAACAATATCACACTAACGTCTCATAGTAAATATATATTTTAGCCAGAAAAACGTTATATATGTTTGTTAAGTGTTTTATTTGTACGCGTTGTTAATTTTTCAAGTTTTTAGAGAAAAATGTACTTTACTTTGGCAGTCTCCTGTCACCATTGATTGTCATGTTTAGACATTGCCTCGGGCATGACATTTAGTAAATGTATTGTATACATGATTTTCCATTCTTTCCATTTAAAGGGTATTTTTTCAGTACTATTTTCAACAGAGTCATGGCCTTATATATATGTAATATGATTGTCAACATGCACACAAACACGTATATTTATTTGTCATGATAAAAATAAATAAATGTATATATCATAATAATCTTAAAAATGATATGAATGATGAGCTGAAATATATTTTTTGTTGCCCTGTTATAATATTTGTGCTAAGGAAATCATTTAATTAACGAGGAGATCGAGTAAGGAACATCGGTATTTTGGGAATTGATTATCTTAAGAGCTATGAACTTAGACACTTTTCACCTCTAACTTGCTTTCAATGTCAAAATTGTGGAGTTATTATCAAAATTGCTGCCAATGAAATTTCTTTGGCAAGTTTATGCATACTTGTCGTCTCTCTTTAAGTCACAGCAGACATGGCTGTGTGTCTCATTGGGCTTTTACCATTCGGCATTCGAAGCTTTCTTGGTTTGTATTATACGAAGTCCCATTAGTGTCAAACAAAAAAAATATTAATTCGTTTGAACGAGTTACGATCTCTTTTGAACGAAATAATTAATTCGTTCAAACGAGATACTAACTCGTTAAAACCAGATACCAACTCGTTAAAACCAGATACCAACTCGTTAAAACGGATTATTTTTTATTTTATTTATTTATTTTTTTAAAAATCTTTTGGCTCTAACTGGCCTTCGTACTAGTGTCATAAACCCTTGCTTTAAAAATATTTTTAAGAACATGGGGGACAATAGTTATCGTTTACTTTTGTAAACTTGGATTAAACTTTTATCATAAGTACGAAAAAAAGGTTATTGTTATTTGTCCTACATGATTGCGACCAAGAAAAGATTTCTCTTTTGACAAAATGTGAAGCTACGCCAGCCTAAGGAAATGTTGGAGCTCAGGGTCTACGTTTTCAAAGCATCGCCTTCTTTGTAGATATTAATTCTTTGTTTGTCTTTGTATGTTTTCAGTGACATCAATAAGACGGACTGAGGATATCATCTTGGATATTAGAATTCCTTCTCAACTTAAATATCTATATTTATGTTTGTTTATTTTTTTCAATAGTTATACACACAGTAATATATATTGTTGTTGTTGACAGAATACTATTTTTGTATAATTCTACTTTTTTCCCTTAAGGTTTTTATTGTTGGTTTGTTTACTAGCATACATACATGTACACATGTTGTATTTAGATTAACATATTCTGTCAACAATATATAATAATATTTGTTATGAAGCATACCTTTGATTTATTATTACTGAATCTTGTAGTAAGGTCAATGGATCAAAGGAATGACGAGACAATGATTCTAGTCGTAAAAAAGAGGTGATTGCATGGAAATATAGCAATAATTAGCCGAAACACGACCTAAAAAATATACACATGGGTCACATACAGTGTTGGAGCGGAACCGTGTGTATCATACTTTCTTTAATATTATTTAATGTTCCGATCATTGCATTAGGGAAATGGAATACTTCCGTCATTATGGGACAAAACCAAGGCAATTTTAATTTTTTTGGTTGCGTAGAATAAGTTTGCTTGGACTGTGTGAAGGGTTCTTTTACATGTACGTTAATGTGTACACGGGTGAACGGTATTTTTTCCCTTCCGGTAGTAAATGCACAAGAGGATGCTGTTCTTTCTTTACCAAGTTTTCATACACTGCCATTATGCTTATAATCAAAATATTAGCATCCAATTGTGGCGGATGTTACAATTTCTAAGTATGTAAATGCATGAGTAGCCCAGACGTATTTCTGTCAAAGGTATGAGACAAATGTTGTTACATCTTTGTCCTTTTACTCGGAATTTAACTTGTAAGTGATATTCCTGACAGAAAAACTGTTTCCCTTGACACGGAGGTGAGATAAATCACTTTCTGAAAGAATTTACTTAAAATGCTCGGATTTCATGCCAATGTCAAGTTTATTTTAATTGCATTCAACAAGGTGTAAAAAAGAAATACTTGCCATGTCCTTGTTACCTTGCCAGTGGTCAGACAAACAGGAAAATATGGTATTGACCTGCTAATGTTAAGGTTAACTATCGGTGATCAACAGGTATGGGTTCTGTATTTGAGAAATATTCATCTAAAGTTTTAAATTTCTGGCAAAATTCTTAGATAGGAATATTTACGCCAGTGTCATATTAAGATCAAGAGCGGCTATTCCACTTATGGGGCCCCTCCCAATCCCTCATTAAGTATAAATGGGGCAAGTATTATGATGATAAAGGATATTTTAGACTTATGATAGTGCCAAAAAATACTATACACCTTGACCGGAGGTCCGCTAGTTTGTGAGACCCCAAGCTTCAAACGGCTAGAGGTGTTTACAACATATACTATTCAAAAAAAGTAGGGGATATTTGATTTTTAAGTGTTATTAAAGTCACCTAATGAAACTGACGAAGAAACAAATGACAAAATGAAATGAAGTTCACATTCATCGATTTATTCCAAATGATCGTTAGACTAAGTAAGGCACAGACTGACCATTATAAGGGTAAAATGATACCCGGGGTCAAACAGCAAAGTTACCACAGCATCACAACCAAGTCAGTAACGGGTAAATCCTCCTCTGTTTGCCAAACAAGCATTGATCCGACGTGGCATACTCCTAATGAGACGTCTAAGGTCATTTTGGTCCAGATTGTCCCATTCCTGTTGCAACGCAGCAGCAAGTTCTTGGACATTGGCAGGACGTTGTTGACGTTGACGTAACCTCTGTCCAAGCATGTCCCAGACATGCTCGATGGGGGAGAGGTCGGGACTCAGTGCTGGCCAAGGTAATGTGGTGATGTTCTGTTGTTGGAGGTAACCTGTAACGATCCTGGCCCTGTGACATCTTGCGTTGTCATCCTGGAAGATGAAACGGCGGCCATGACGTCGTGCGAACGGCACAACATGGACTGCCAAGATGTTGTCCCGGTAGTACTGGCCTGTAACACGCCCTGCAACAACATGTAAAGCCGTTCTTCCAGCAACAGTGATGCCTCCCCACACCATAACAGAACCACCCCCAAATCGATCATGTCTGATGACGTTAACGTCTTGGAAGCGCTCGTTTCGACGACGCCACACCCTCCTACGTCTGTCCAAAAAATCAACAGTGAACCTTGACTCATCTGAAAACATCACATTGCTCCAGCGTCGATTATCCCAGTGTTGACGATCCCTACACCAACGACGTCTTCCCTGAATGTGATGATCTCTCAAACAAGGGATCACGCGAGGACGTCGGGCGCGAAGGTGACCCCTATGCAGTCGATTCCGAATCGTCTGGCCACTCACTCTCACACCAGTGTCTGTTTGAAGACGAGCGCTGATCTGATTTGCTGTGATGACACGATTTCTCAAGGCCAAGGTACGGATAAATCGATCTTGGGCTTGAATTGTCGCCCTTGGTCGACCTGAGCGTGGTCTGTCCTGTACAGATTGTGTATCAGGGTATCTGGACCATAGCCTGCTTATGACAGACTGAGAAACATTCATCGTCCGCGCCACAACCGCCTGTGTTGTGCCGATCTGTAGCATGCCAAGGGCACGTAACCTTTCATTTTGGGTAAGCCGACGCATATCAAAATTTGTTTTCTGGTCACTAAAACAATTAAACTGATGTTTCCACCCTGGAATTCAATGCCACAATGACTGTAACATTCAAAGTCAGAATCGTGCAAATCTTGGGTTGGACCCCCATAATGATCCCAAGCATCACCTGCATTCCATGCGGTAGCTATTGGTGCGTTTCGGCGTCACATGTAACTGGAAATGTTTCTTCTGTTAGGTTCTATAGTGACTTTTTTCGTAGTCATTTGCATATTTTAGTATTATGCCCCCAAAATCAAATATCCCCTACTTTTTTTGAATAGTATATTATCAATGCAAATTATTTGAAGCTAAAAGACAAATATAGCCGAAGATAAAATGGTTAAAATTAACCAATCCGGAAGTAAGTTATGGTCGTCAAAAGTGTACATTACGTCCTATGGGCTGTCTACCGCCACCTTCAATGTTACTGGACCATTAATTTCTATCCAAGAACAACGGGGTAACAACTAACCTACGTTTTGTTTTTATTTAGTCGTCTGAATTACTATCTCAAGAACATTTTGCAACAATGATTGTTTATATCTATAAAAAAATAATAAAATTTTCTTTTTTACATATTTAAAACATTTTTTTATTCAGGATATTTAAATGAGATGGGGAAAAAACCTAACCTATGTAAAACATACATACAGAATACAAATGAATAGAATACAGTCGTCGCCAACTCCCCAGATTTGGGAGCCGCGTGCTAACCAGGATTATCTCGGGTTTACTCTCGGGGTTGTCCGAGAAAGTTCCTCGGGTTTAGATTGTTTATAGGGAACTAGATTTATTCACTGATTATTCGTTAATTATAAAATGTAATTTATAAGGACACTACATTTGTTTATTTAACAGCAATTGATATGGCGATAAAAAACAATCCTCGAGCAATTTCTGTAGGAGTAATGGTAAAAAAAGTTACTGCAAACTTAAATTACAAAAAATAAGATTTACCTATATAATCGTGTTTTTTTGAATGGACACACGCCAGGATAGATTTGACAATGATTCCTCATGCCATTAAATTGTTTCGCTAGATGTTTTGGTACAACGTCATAAACGTCCGCAAACATTGCTTATGGATTTATGTTCCTGTGAGGCTGCGAATACCGGAGTCTCACTTCTGACCGAATAATAGTAAAATACTGAAAAAAG